GTGGATTTGGTCGCGGTGAACTTGTAGCGGTAGCCCTCGTAGATGAAGTCGACAGGGAAGACCGTCTTCAACACGTCCTTGGAAGGCACCTGACCCTTCTCCAAGCTGGTCTTGTACTCGTTGACGCACGCTTCACTTGCAACATGGGCCTTGGTAACAGCACCGCAAATGACCGCGATCATCGTGTCGGGACGCTCAGCAGTCAGCTTCTTGGAGATGAGCTCGTCGAGCCAGCCAGTGGTAATGGTGTTGTCCTCGAAAGCAGGAGTCTCAAGCAACTTGATGAGATACTCAACAGTCGTGCGGAAGTCACCACGAATGCTCAATTCCTTGAGCGCAACAACCATGTGCTTCCGCGAGGCCTGTCGGTTCTCGCCATAAGCGAAGATGTGACCGAATTGCGAGTCGGAGAAGCTGTGGATACCACCGGCGGAGCTGACGGAGAAGTAACCCCAGACGTTGGAGCTACTCCTGAAGTTGAGGTCGTGGATAGTACCACCGGAGGGCTTGAAGCCCTCGTCTGGGTCCTCAGAGGTGATACGGCAGGCCGTGCAGTGGCCCTTGGGAGTGGGGCGACGCTGGCTCTTGGCACTGCCTTCGCTGGAGAAGTCAAAGTCGATGGTAGAGCTGGCGTGGGGGTCGGCACCGTACAGGAGACGAATGTCACGGACACGGTGCAGTGGGAGACCCATGGCAATCTGGAGCTGGGCGGCTGGGAGGTTCACGCCCGTTACCATTTCCGTGGTAGGATGCTCGACCTGGAGACGGGGGTTCAGCTCGAGGAAGTAGAACTTGTCGTCCGAGTGCGAGTAGAGGTACTCGACGGTACCTGCTGAGACGTATCCGACGAGGCGTCCGAGCGAGACGGCAGCCTTCTCCATCTCCTGGAAGGTCTTTGAGCCAGCAACTGTTACCGGTGCCTCCTCAATGATCTTCTGGTGACGGCGCTGCACCGAACAGTCACGTCCGAACAGGGAGATGTTGTTGCCGTACTGGTCAGCCAGCAGCTGGACTTCCAAGTGGCGCGCGCTGCCCGCCAGCTTCATGATGAAGATGGGCGATCCGGGGATTTCAGAGGCAGCCGCCTTGTACAGCTGCTCAAAGTCCTCCTCGCGCTCGACCTTTCGGATGCCCTTGCCGCCGCCACCCTCCGAGGCCTTGACCATGACGGGGAAGCCAATGGCCTTGGCCTTCTCCAGACCCTCTTCCCATGACTTTGTGCAGCCCTTGTCGTAGACGTGGTCCTCGACCGTGACGATGCCGTGCTGGTCGACCTGGACCTCGTCGACGCCGGTTCCCGACCAGGGGATACACGGCACCTTGGCGTGTTGTGCGACGATTGTGGACGAGATCTTGTCACCGAGCGAGCGCATGGCCGACCCGGGCGGGCCGATGAAGACAATCTTCTTGGGCGAGGCGGCGAGCGATTCGGGCAGCTTGGGGTTCTCCGAGGCGTGTCCCCTAGACGCAAAAAGTCAGCCATGAACCCTCATCCGACGTTCGTTGGGCTGTATACGCACCATCCGGCCCAGACGGCGTGCACGTTCATGCGCTCGGCCACATCGACAATTAGCTCGACGTTGGCGTAGTTGTTGTTGTTGGTACCGCCGGGTACCTGCATAGTCGCCGTTAGCCATGCATCGCTCGTCGCCGCTGTCTGGGGGAGCACGTACCTCGACGTATTGGTCTGCCATGCGGATGTACTCAGCGTTGGCCTGCAGATCCTCGGGCGTCGCCATGACGGTGAACTGGATCGCCCGCTCATCGCCGAATGTCTCGTACGCCCATTTCCGCACCGAGCGGATTTCCTTGACTGCGGCGATACCGTTGTTTGCAATGAGCACCTGCGGGGAAGCCACTGGTCAGCGCGTGCCTTCTCAACACCACCACTTTTCTCACTGCTCTCTGCGGAGAGTGTCGCTCACATTGGTAATGACCGTGTGTCCGTCGTGCGCCGCCACAAAGTCCTTGACCTTGCCCGGCGACGCTACCTTGAGGTTGTTCCCGCCGATGAAGTGCGGAGCAAGATCGAACTTGGCGGCGTAGGAGCTCGGGGCGCCATTAGCATCCCCGTTGACTCCGTTCTGTGCAGCTCCGGCCATGATGTGTAAAGGCAATCCCATGCACCGAGGAATTGGGATGTGGGGAGGAAGGAGCGAAGGCGAAGTTGGGTTGCGGTTCGGTGAGGGTCCGGTCAATTTTCCACTGGTAAGGGCAAGCTGGAGCTCGGCCTCTAGTGTCGAATGTAGATCTGATTGACCCGAAAACGACGATGCTCTGCAATCGACGTGTGCGTCTCTAACGATTCTGTCGGTGGGAGGGCCCGAGCAGACTATTAGTAGAGGACAGTCGTAGTGTCGGTGTGGAAGACCCAAAAGCAATCTTCAATGCCAGGAATTCTATGCGGCGCCGGGAGGAAGCACCAACAACGAACGCGTGGAGTTGAGCGAAAGAGGGACTAGTAGTGCGTACGAGGAGAAGTACAGCACAGCGAGGTATACAGTATGTGGGAGGGAGGTAATACAGCAGAGCAAGAGGAGGGGAAATGGTCGCAAGCGTCCGGGAGCAGCTCACGTATGTATTAAATTTTTAGAGCCATAGCGGAACACCCCAATGCACTTCCCGAAGCACTGTTGAGCTATCGCATCGCCAGCGATGCCGAAGACGGCAAGGCCCTGCACCACGTCCCCCATAACGCCCCTGTCCATCCCTCTCGAAGCCACGGTAGACGACTCGGAAGCCCTTCGGAACCCGATTATGTACACACGACGGCTGGTCTACGGGCCAATTCACTACTTAGCTACGCTGACTGACTAGCCAGCTATCTGGATCAAGTCAAGATTGCCGCATTTTTTCACGATCGATGGGTACAGCATGTTGAGAGTTTGCTCGCCATGGCGGCATCTGTTCTAGGTCTGTTGGGAGCATTTCCGCATTAGTTGCTTGTTGCGAGACCCAACCCGAGCACGAGTACCTGCATGCCCATGTGTTGAGCCCTGGCTATCTCTCACCAACAGCTGGTCAAGCCTCCCGTCTGCCGTTGATCCGCTGACTGTTCAGGGTTGAGTTGATATCTATCACCGCCACTTCAAACTTTACCCCTCTCCCAACACGTAGCTGCCCACCTAGATATCGTCAACATCTCCCATCTCACCTCTTCACCACCGCCGCCTCCCCACCCCACTAAGCCCTCACACCACCATACACCCATCTCCCAAAATAACCAAACACCAGTCTCACATTTGCCAAACCACGCCAGAGTAACAGCAAGAGTAATGCTCGGGTCTCCTCCCCCGATACCTCCCACCGGACTCCGATCGCAGCCACCCAATCAGCGCCCAAAGCGGCCGCTCTCGGAACAAACATCAAGCACACGCTCAATTTAGCACACCGTAGATGACGCTGAAACAGAAAAGTACCGGCTTCCATACAGCAGTCTAGTAGTCTACGACGGCGTGAGAAGCCGGGTAGAATTAATAAAGAAAACATGTCCCGCAGAGCATAGGTCGCAAACGTTGTGCTCAGGTACCGCCGCAGGGCAGCCGGCCAAAGCCCCGTAGTCCCGCCGCCCGCATCTCTACAACAACGACTATCAGTTTGGTAGCGATGCTGCGAGATAAAGCAGGCCAGGATGCCTATCCAGATAAAGCAAGCTAGATTCCGAAGGCGCGTTCCGAAGATCCAGGGTCTTGCGCGAGTAGCTGGTGCTGGTTCCTGCTTGGGTCAACGCGGCGGGACAGGCCGCCGTTTGACATCAGAATCGTACGATTTTCGACTACGCGACCACCAACGCCAATGCGGCTGCGCATGCATGCAACTTTACCCCAGATTTTCGTCCAGAACGAGCAGTCTACTCCGTTTGAAGTAAGGAGAGCACGTGAGATCTGTAGTAGTAGTAGTAGTAGTAGTAGTATTTCGAGATTAAGATGTGAAACAAACAGAAGAGCTGATGTGCACAGAAGCAACGGCGAGCCTAGCGGTGAATGGAATTCGGGGTATATTGGTTTCGAACAAAAGAAATCTGAATGTAAAAGTAATATGTAACTGCCCTCAAAGGAGCTGGGCACCTCTCGAGTTTCTTCTCAAGACGGAAACACCCCGTCCGTATCCCATTTCCCAAACTCTAGCACATATGCATCGCAAACCCGACTCCAGCATGCATGAGGTATAGTGCCGTGAAAATCATGCACCAGAGATTGATCGATCCAGAGGTACACACACGTGGTTCTGCGGGTCCTTTAACTTCCTACCAATGCGCCGTTCCTTCCTAGTATGATTCTTCTTCCGCCTGCGTCGACATCTTTCGTGGCCGAGCAGGAGGCGCCATGTCTCCGTTGTCCATGTTGTTGCTTGCCCTGCGTCCTGCACTCTGACGCCTTGGGATCCCGCTTGGTGTAGGTATGCCTGTCTTCTCCAGTGTAAGTCGCCTGCCCATTGGTGTTGAGACGCCGCTTCCGTCGCTGTTGGCGTCTGTATCCCGCCGCGACATTGACAGCGAATGCGAATGGCCATGACCGCTCATAGAGCTCCTTGGCCTTGGCATCCGGGGCTCCGTTCCGCTGATAGACGAAGACGAATAATGTCCGAGTGGCGTTCGGGTGCTGCTTCTGCTTGCCGGCCGCTGTATTGCTGACTGTGACGACATGGATGCTCGGCTGGCAGGTCTGCTGCTGGTGGGCTCGCGCGACGAGGTCGACATGCCGAATGACAGCCGGCTTACACCCGACTCGTAGGCGCCAGGGACTGACGAGCCCGCTGATGCGTGGGAGCTGCGCTTTCTGCCGCTCCTCAATGTAACAGTGCTTGGCACGTGGTGTCCCATGGCACTGCCGTTTCGGGGGCTGGCTCGCGGTGGGGTCGTAGTTGGCGCAGGGAGCTTGGATCGCGCTGCGTGTACCCGTTCTTCGAGCTTCTGCATCTTACCAATCAGCCCTCGAACCTGAACGAGCGAGCCTGACCTAGGCAAACTTGGCGGCGGTGCAGCACTTCCAAAGCTCGGTCTAGGCGCTCGCGATGCGGGCGCAGTTGTTCGTATCGAGGGTGTCGCCCGCCCACTGGCACTTGTACTTGGTCGCGATGCTGACATGCTGGGCCCTCGCGAGTGCCTTGGGACTCGCTGATACAAGCCGGCGCGAGGGGTTGCACCTGGGTCCAGCGGCGCATACGAGTTCTTTCGCTTGGGCATGGGCGTCGAGGGTACGTATCTAGTCGTGATCGGTGCATCGGACAGCGGTGGCGAAGGAGGAGTCGCGTCCGTGTGTAGGCCATCTGCTTTCGAGTGTGGTGGGGTCGAAGCAGCTGTGGGCGAGGAGACGGTGGTTGCTGTGGTCGATGCCTCGGAGACCGGCGAGCGTGGCCTCAGGGCATCACCAGAGAGATGGTTGGATACCTTACGCACGTGGTGGTTCTCAATCGTCTCCTCCGCGATGCGCAACTTCTCCTGCGTGATTTCCGCCTCTACCCGCAGGTCTGACAGTTCGTCCCTAAGGCGCTGTGTTTCTATCCGCAGTGCCTCTCGCTCCTGCTCTCCGATCTTGATCTCTTCTTCCAGCATGACGCTGCGCTCGATGGCTACGTTGTACTTGGATTCCACATCCTCGAGTGATGATGTCTGATGGCGTGCCTGGCGCTCGAAATCGTCGCTTTGTACTTCGATGTCGCGGAGTCGCATCTGGAGGGCGCGTTGGCTCTCGCGCATCGTGGTGATCTCCTTCTGGAGCGTGTTCTGCGCATTGTTGGCCTCGGCCTTGCTCTGCTTGTACTTTGTCTGTGGTGTCTTGTTAGTGACTGTCTGTTGGGCATACATCCGCCCCAACTGTGTCGGAGGCCACGCACCTTCCACTCCTCAACCTCGAACCCCAGCTTCTCTGCCTTTTCCTGCAGCTTGCGCTCCCGCTTCTCGCTCTCCTCGACGTCGCGCTCGAGCTCGGCCTCCAGTTCCTTGCTTGATGCCTGAAACTCCTGCAGCTCCATCTCCAGCGTCTCGTACTGAGACTTGTAGTAAGCCAGCTCCTCCTCGAGGCTGCTCCATCCTCCCCGGCTCGGCGAAGACTGCGCTCCGGTGGTCGTCATGATGGCGGTGGGGGGTTGGGCTGCGACTGCCAACAGCGTGCGGTGATCAGGGGAATGAGCTGGGCGGGGTGCAGTGACGAGACGTCAACACACAGCTGGTCGGTCGCGGTCTATGTCGTCACCGGCGTCTACGACATAGAAAGCCGCAGCTGGTGGTGTGCGCGTGGGTTGCGGCTGCCCTCTTGGTGTCCGGGATGTTGACGATTCCGCTTTTGTCCAATGGCCGTGCTGTGAGTGTCGCCAGTCATGCGCCGCCGACTATCGGAAACTTCGAGTCGGTTCTTCGCGCTCGCACTGTCGCGCAAACAATAGTTGTCCTGTTCCTGTGCAGGTTAGTAGTTAGTCGCCGCTCAACTGCGGCATGCAGTCGGATGTGTCGCCAGGCGTGGTTGTTGATGATGGAGGCGCTGCGGGCGGAGCCAGGTGGTTAGCGCATTGGCCTCCAGGGCAACCGCTGCAACCAGCCACCGGCATGACACATGCGACGTACCGTGACCAGCCATCCCCACAATAGCCAGCGCAGCAGAGACAACAAAGCCCGCAAGGCTGGAAAATCCTGCTTCAAGTCGACGCGCTGGTACTATTCTGGCGTGAACACGATTTCCATTGCAGTCACTTTGGACACAGACTCAATTTCATTGGAACGCTTCCGTCCGGTACCTAGGTACATGGACATACCAGCTACTCGAAGCGTGGCAGTGGATACTGACACCCTGACGTTTCAGATCGCCCAAGGTAGATGGACAGTTCACCCGGCAATTATTTGCTCATTATGCATTACGAAAGTCAGGTACGCTTTTGACGCGAACCATACCAAAAAAATACATCCTCCATCCAGACATGCCTTTGAACAAAGAATCACAAAATCAATCGGGTATATGTACAGTCTGAAGGCGCTGAGAAAATCATCTGCCGCAGGGCTCACTCTTTGATACCCTTGTCAGGGCCGTTGATGTCCTTGATGTCGGCGTCCAGAACAGCGTCTTTGGCCTGCTGCGATGCCTCGCTTGCGGCCCTGTTGCCATGCTCAAGCGCTTCACCAGTTTGCTGAGTGGCATTGGTGGCAGCATCCTGTCCTTTGTCTAGCACGTTCTTGCCCTGGTCGTAGGCGCTGCTTGCGGCCTCGCTAACAGCATCTCTGCCTTTTTCAACAAGGTCTTGCGCCTGCTGTGAGCCCTGTGAAACGGCGTGCTTTGCCGATTCCGTTGCGTTGCCGACGACTTCGGCGCCCTTCGCATACGCATCGCTAGCCTGCTCCTTGCCTTGTTCATAAGCACTCTGAACGCTGTTTGATGCCGACTGTGCGACTTGACTTGGGCTGGGGTACTCCTTCAACGCGCCCTGCACAGTGTAGTACAGGCTGATGATGACAGCATGAATACGGTCCTTCATCAACATCGTGATACCATGGGAGAAAAAGCCTTTGAGCACTTCCGCCCCAAGACCCTGGTACAAGCCCCATATTCCCTCAGTCTGGGCGATGCGCAAGATGGTGCTGAACACTGTCCGCTGTCTAGCTTGGAGTGCTCTCGACTCGAGCGGCTCGTCCGACTTTTCCTTGTCCGAGGTCTCACCAATGCCGGAAGAGGGCTTCTGTGAGGACACTTGGGCGCGCGTCTTTGCGAGGGAGAACGGGTAGGTAGCGGTAGAGGCAAGGACCTTACTTATGGCGGCGAGAAGGAACGTCATGCGCGCGCCGGGATCGTCTCGATTTGCCCTGGGTACGACCAATCGCAGGAGAGCCTTGTGCAGAAGCATAGTGATGGAAGGGTTCAGGGTGAGGATCAAGCTAGCAGAGTAGCCAGACCAGAAGCCTTGTATGCCCTTCTCGCGCATAATCTCATGTGCTATGTCCTTGGTACTGGAGAGTGGAGCTATGGTGGTCGACGATTCCTGGCGCATCATCGCCGCCGTCTGCTTCCGCGTAACAATCTGCTGGATGGGCGTGGTGAAGAACTTGGAGAAGGCGCCTGCGACGACGCCAACGCCAATCTCTTCGAGCGCCGGCAAGCTGTGTCCAGTACCTCGCGCTTCGAGCCTCTTCTGTCGCGCATATGAATACGCTAGGAAGAAGAGGAAGCTGTCGGCGACACCCTTCACAACCTCGGGCACTACGCCGCTGTAGAAGGCCTTTGGTCCACCTTCCCTCTCGTATATCTTCTCGATGGCATCGAAGAAACCATTGTAATGCGGGTGCGCGTCGCCGTGATGTAGTTGCCGCTGAACCTGGAGGCGCGTAATAACGACATCGAGAGGGTATGTTAGGAGTTTCGACACGACGGTTCCTAAAGCGCCAGACGAAGCATGGCCGAGGGCAGGGAGTACAGGGCCGACCGAGCTATGTTCCTCCTTTTCGTGCGAGATATGGTAAAGTGTGAAAGCATCCTAACGATCAATGTCAGCCAGTGTCCATCTTCACATGTCAGGGGCGCTCACGAGCTGCGAGTTGTAGATGTAGCTCATCTTGTCGGGATTATCGTTGGAAGCCATCGCAGGGAAATCCGGGGAAATGACGACTTAAGAAGGATCCAAGAAATAGTACAAAAGCATCGCAAACGCGGGGAAAGCTCTCACTCTCCGGGTCCGCATAGCGCTTCTGGTGTCACCAGCTGCAGACGTCATGGAGGCGTTCGGGCGAGGCCAGAGCTCCAGCGGATAGCCGAGCTTCCACTCGACAAACTTCGCTGGTGCAACTGCCTTCCCCTAACAACACCACTCGCGCCAACACTAGCCCTCGCCCAATGCAGTCGCTCCAAGCCTCGCAGAAGACCGGATGAGTCTCTCGTGTTGAGATGTTGTCTGTCTGCCTCGTTGAAAAACGCGCGCGCCGCGACGGTACCGACAGCGCGTCAGACGAAACGACACTACCATGCCGCATCCACTGTGGGAGGGCGCGACGGCGCGTGAATGCACATTTATAGAGACAGGAGCACTCAAAGGGACTGCGAGAACTCTTCGGGGTATTGATCGCAGTTCAAAGTATCCTCCGAGAGCAACCACGGCCGGTCGTGTTTGACGTGGAAAGACTCGCTTGAGAGAAAGACATCCATCGTTTCATACACTGGCTACATGCAATGCATCATCACCGCAACGTAACCCGATCCAGTTCATCCACTCCATTTTCCCGGTAAAGGGACATCTTCCTGAGGACGGGTCACCAGTACTGTGATTGTCAATTGCGGCACTTGACAATGTCAACAACGCGTCAGTGCCAAACAAGCACCGCCACCCTCAGGACCCGATATACTCGATGGTCGAATCGCTGCAGAGCCCGACACAATGCAACGTTATCCTGGACCCACCTCTGCTACAGCGTGTCTAGCAACATTGACATACGCCGACATCGGCTATCAAATCCTAGCCTTCCTCGGATTCACACTGCAATTAGCTCCGCACGAGAGATTGTACTGACAGCTATGAATAGTTCGTCGATCACATAGAGTCAAACGTTCTATCATTGCGCCTAACAATGCAGTCAAGAGCAGCATTGAGCAGACCGCAAGAATCTCTTATAAGACCCATGGGTTTGGTGAGAATATACATTCTTATTCTTCATACATCCTTACTCCATCATCAGACCCGCTGCAAGACTGAGTCTACTTTGGGAATCAACTTATCTTGGTCATGAGACTGAGTATCCGCCCAGAAATCACCCGGGTCGGGAATGTGCAGCTACGCGAGATGTCTTCTGTCTCGGAACTGGATGCAGGCGGTCAAGACACATCGGGTGATGGCACGGCTAACACCTCTGTCGATCAGGAGAACATTGTCATCACTCCAGATTCAATCGAAAGCATCGAGCGCAATCTGGCAATCGTAGTTCCCTGCATGGATGAAGATATCACAGTTCTCGAAGGCCTTCTTCGTGGTATTCCACATCATTGTTCTGTCATCTTCATCTCGAACAGCAACCAGACAAACTACAAGGCGGAGTGCGAGTCGCTGCTCAAATTCGGAAAGGTTGCAAGTCGATCTGTTATGGTACATCATCAAGGTGAGTCAACCTTCGCCCGCGCCTTCAAGGAAGCCGGAATGCCAGAGCTGTTGCAACACCCAGGAACAAGTACGCCCGAGGGGAAAACACATGTTCCACGCATGAACAACGGAAAAGGAGAGGCTATGATACTCGGTGTAATCATCACGAAGCTTGTTGGACGTAAGTTCGTCGGCTTCATTGATGCTGACAACCGGATTCCCGGATCCGTCCTCGAGTACTGCAAAGTATACGCCGCTGGGTTACATTGGGCATTGTATCACAACAGAGATACCGGACAAAATCAGCATGCCATGGTGCGTATCAAATGGAAGTCAAAGCCAAAAGTCAGGAACGGCGAGCTCGAGTTTGAAGAGTTTGGACGCTCCTCGCGTGTCGTGAACGAGTGGATGAACCGCCTTCTGAAAGTCCTCGGAGGTGACGCTACCCCGAGAACCATGATCGGAACCGGTAACGCCGGTGAACACGCTATGGATGTTGAGCTGGCCCTGAAGCTACGATTCGCTACTGGTTATGCTGTCGAGCCATTCCAGCTGATCGACTTGTGGGAACGCTTTGGAGTTTCAAACCGCCCGTCCTCAAGACCAGTGCACATCTTGCAGATCGAAACATGCAATCCACATATTCACAGTGCTAACCGACTAGATGGACATATCCCACGCATGCAGGCTCAAGGCCTGAGCACGATATACCATTCACGGCTTACACCCTCGCGTCTCAAAGACGAACTTCGTGTGTACATGAAAGACAACTTGGCCACCGTTGTAGACAGTACCGGAGAACCCGAGCCACCTCGCATATACCGCCCACTCGGTTCCTTAGATTGGAAGATATTCGCAAAGATTGGGTTAGGAAAGCAAGATCGTTGTAGGGACAAGGCCAGACCCTAAGGTAGCAGCGCAGATGTAGGCGATGCAGACCTCGCTAATGTCACTCATTTCATTGATTTGTATTGCGCTGCATGATAGCGAATACTACATTATTGGTGGTCAGTCCATCCAACCTGCATTCGTTCCGTCGAGTAAGTGAAACGCGCGACACGAAACTCCAAACTTCCAGAACTTCTAGACTACCAACTGACAAGCGGGACGTTTCTGCATCTTCACTAGTAGCTTCACCCTACATGGCTGTCACTGCTGCCAAGACCGACATCCTCAACATGAAACCTGACACATCCCTCTCATAGATTGTCAGCTGTCGGACGATCGGTTTCGTCAACGGGACGCGCAAACCAAACACGGTCTTCTTCCAGGATACCAGGCCTGTTTCCACGTTTCCTCGATTCACGACTGCACGTGTGTTCGGGCCTACTCAGTCATCGCGTTGAGTGCATAGTACCCGTGGTATAACCGACGATAGGCATGATGCGCTTGGAGGTTTGGGGTGCGGGTGGTGTGAGACGTCGTCGTATACCACCGACACGCATGTTCAGTAACCCAACAGTACGTATGCCTAATACAATGGCTATAAAGATGTTCGCAGCCCGCCCATTGCAAGATCCTCATCCTCATCAGGACCAACGATCTCTTCCTTGCTTCCAACACCTTCCCTTTTCCGCATTCTCTTCTCCAGCTCAGTGCCGGTCACCCTTCTTTTCTTGACTGTGTCATCTTTGCTGTGCAATACCTTCGTTCCCCTACTTTCACTTCAAATCACCCGGAAAACCAGCAAAACATGCGTTTCTCTCTGACTACCATCGCAGCTGCGGCCCTGATCGTCTCTGTCTCCGCGGCACCTGCTCCTGCCCCAGCTAAACCGACGGAACTTTCGGCTCGAGGCCCCGCTCCTACAAAGGCTCATGGCCATCGTGGTGGCCATCGCGGCAAACACGGCGGCGGTCAACGCAACGGCACCGAGTCTAGCGGTCCTGGCTCTGATTCCATCGGCTCTGGAATGGGAATGGGCGGTGGCCCAGGACGTGGCCAACGCAATGGCGGTGACCCCGGTTACTTCCCTGGCGGTGGCGCTGCTCCCACGGGCGGCTTCCCAGGCTTTGGCGGTCAGCCATCCGACCCTCAGATGACGGGTGCTCCTACGTTTACCCCCGGCAGCGACTACGAGTGGAGATCTGTTGAGTCCGAACCTACTGTTACGAAGCGTTCACCCTTCGGTCTGGTTTGGAGAGCGAGCGATGACGAATCTAAAGACACCTCGGATTCCAAGGACTCTGCAGGTGATTCATCTGACTCCAAGGACGGTGCTTCTGACGCCAAGGATGACAAGAAAGACAAGTCGAAAGGCTCTTCTGGCTCTTTGGATAGCAGCGAGGAGTCTTCCAGTGGCAAGGACAAGTCTTCCGACGACGCTAGCGACAGCACTGAGGATGCAACTGGCGACTCCGGTTCAAGCTCTAGTGGAGATAGCGGTTCAAGTTCGGGATCAGGTTCGGACTCCAGCAGCGGTGGCGGCAAGGGCAGCGGATCATCCTCAGGAAGCGACTCATCCTCGGGTAGCGACTCTTCCTCAGGCAGCGACTCGTCTTCGGGTAGCGAATCATCTTCAGGAAGCGACTCATCATCGGGAAGTGACTCATCTTCAGGCGGAGGCTCTTCATCAGGTGGTGGCTCCTCATCAGGTGGTGGCTCCTCATCAGGTGGTGGATCTTCCTCCGGTTCGGGAACTCAAACTGGATCGGGCTCTGGATCAGGCAACTCCACTATGCCCAGCTCAGGTGGTAGTGCAGCAAGCGGTACCATGCCTGCAGCAGCTGGCGAGTCTACTCTCTCCAAGACAATGATGGTAACCGGCGAATTCGATGGTGGCATGAAGCGTTTCGGCCGTGGAGTGTCTTGCACCGGTCAATCAGAAGGAGGAGACAGCGACGCCGTGTTCTCCATCGCAAACGGGGGTACTCTCCGCAACGTCATCATCGGAGCCGATCAGATCGAGGGAGTACACTGCCAAGGAGCCTGCACCATCGAGAATGTCTGGTGGGAGGACGTTTGTGAAGACGCACTCACCTTCAAGAAGGACGGCGACGGCACAGTCACCGGTGGCGGAGCTGTGGGCGCATCCGACAAAGTCATTCAACACAACGGCGTGGGCACCATTTCAATCTCAGGCTTCACGGTCTCAACCTTCGGCAAGCTCTACCGATCATGTGGAAACTGCAAGACCATGGGCGAGCGCCACGTCAAGATCGACAAAGTCAAGGCTACAGGCGGAACCGCGACTTTCGTTGGTATCAACAGCAACTACGGCGATACTGCTACCATTACCAACTCCTGCGTCACGGGCACAAAGGCTATTTGCGAGGAGTTCGAGGGTAACGATACGGGTGCTGAGCCTAAGCAGATCAGCGAGGGACCCAGCTCAGCTTGTATTTACACGCCTGCGGATATCGCTGCTTGTTGATTGGATCTGATGGGATAGGAAGAATGTGAGATTCGGGAATTTGGAAGAGCACATGGGTGCTTGGAATGCCCTGGGATTGGCGATGGGACTTACACTCATTTCACCACAATTCTTTCTGTACATACTCTCTTTTTACACGAATCAAGTACAGATGTCTTCTACTCATACCACCGCTGACCTTTAGTTGAGTGTGCAGCCTAATCCATCTTCCCAAGTTGACACTGATGATTCGCTCACTTACGGTGATACTTTGGTCGCGATCATCGCTACCATAGGTCTTCTACCACAACGCCGATCTCGCTCTCTTGACTCACTCACTCTCGCCTTTTCACCACTTTTTACGAACCCAAAGTGTCTGTGCGCGTACCCGCCCTGTGAGTATAAGAGTGCGTGGTCCCCCACACCCTGCGACAAACAATTCCAACGACAGCAATCGCAACACTTGCAACACCCTCAACTACAGGACTGTCGACTCTACTAACTAACAGAATGCCTTCTTTTCTTACTCCGCCGCGCTTCGGCTTTGGCGCTTCTACTACTACTACTAACACAAACACTTCCCCGACCTGGGGCTTCGGCCCTGCGCTGCAGGGTGGTATGGGTCCTCCTGCGCCCGCCTCTTCAAGCAAATCCCCGATATCACCTGTGTTCGGTTCAAGTTCTTTGTCGCTAGGCGCAAAACTCCCCAGTTCCACCGCCGCCCCAGCGGTCCAAAAACAGCCCGCCGTATCCCCACCCACCGGCCTCGTCTTCGCCTCTGTCGCCACCGACGCGACAGGCAAGCAGACGACCAAGAAGATCCAAGACCCCACCACCATCCTAGACGGCGACATTCACGTAGTTCGTATCTACCTCTCTCTCGAAGACCTCCCTCCCTCACCCCTCAATGACATCCTCCTCAACTTCCAAAACCAAGGCGCCAACCCACTCCAAGAAATCCACCTCTGTATCCGCTCGCTCCTCCGCCCATGTCTCCAGGACGTCTACGAGGACCGTAAACTAGAAGAAGCCATGCTGTTCATGGTTGATCAATGGTATGCCTTTGGCACCGCGGTCAAGTTCTTCTTCCACCGTCCTGGTGTAGACACTTCCCGCGACCGTTTCCAGAACTTTGTCGAGAAGGACTTAGTTCGTGCGGTCCAGGGTTTGGCAGAGGGCGATGTGGAATTATCGGAGATACTGGGTGAGGAGAGTTGTGTGTTGGGGATGGGGGCGGTGGCCGGTGGGGCGGTTCGTAAGCCTGTCGTGGCTGAGTATGGTGTTTGCGATGAGATGATCTGACAAGTTGGCGATTCGATTTCTTTGATGGTTGTAATATTAGCGCGGAGTTGCGGTCGAGGTTTTGTATCTTCATGATTTGTACTAACATTTAGTTTTAAAAGTCATGATTGCGGCGGCGTACTTTGGAGTAAGTAACACAAGTATGGACAGTACTTGTTTAGATCGATGGAAATGAGAACATCATGATCTTTGCATATCTTCGGACTCTTTTCTGCGAAAGTGATGACATAATGCTGGTGTAGGTTCCCGAGTGTTTCGTCAATACGCCGAGAAAGCCCAAGCTGTGGCGCATGCGTCCCGAAGCTTCTCCGAACACGCGTCGCGGCGGTTGCTGGCTTCTTGCCCGAGCTCACCCTCCCACCACACCGTCAATATGGAACCAGCCAGCCGAGCGCTGATACAAGCTCTATCTGCATGCGTGCCTGATACTTACGCGCCTGGTACATACGCCGCTTGATCCGCATACAGCAATGTCCCCGTCTCCACGCTCGTCCATCGCGACGAACAACGCTCGCGGAAAAAGCAGGCTCAGCGCCAGTACTATCTTACTTGAGAAGCCCACAAAGGCTGCAGGCTTAGCCACGCGTCTCATAGTCTCATCATAAACTTCGTCTCACTATTCACATCACAGCCTCCTTGCAAGTTCCTCGCAATGGCGCTTGATCGAGGCTGGTTAAACATCGCAAAGCGGCACTACCTTCGCTTACTACACACTTCGGAGGGTAGCCGCGCGATGCCCTCACATCGTCAAATAGACACAAATCCCTTGTTCTGCTACACGAGCGGACGATGGCTATGGAATGAGCGTGAGCAACTGGAAGCTCGATACCGACGTTTTGACGTGCCCAGTCTTCAGCAAGCGGCTTGTCAAGCCATCGGTGCAAACAAGTGCATGTCTTTCAAGAAGATCGGCGAAGGCAACTACAACAAGGCATATCGCCTTGAGATGGAAGACGGCCAAAAGATCATCGCAAAAGTCCCACATCCTAATGCTGGCCCAAGAGTCCTTACCACGGCATCGGAAGTGGCAACTATGGAGTTTGCCCTGACTGTTTTGAACTTACCCGTCCCACGAGTTCTCGCTTGGAGTGCTACCGACCAAAATCCTGTCCAAGCAGAATATATCATCATGGAAGAAGCGGGTGGCTCCCAGCTGCATGAAGTTTGGCAGAATCTCCCACTGCGGAGGAAGTGTGACATTATTCGTGAGTTTGTAGGCATTGAAAGCAAACTACTCTCGGTCTCCTTTGAAAAGTAAGATTCAGCTCGCTCCAACAAAGAATTTGTGGCCAGTCCAACTTACACACACTGTCAGATCGGGTTCACTGTATTTCAAAGATAGTGGGATCGCAGGATGCGAGCCGGCTATCGTTACATGTGGTCCACAAGATGTCGTTGGTCACATCGAATCAACTTATTGCATTGGGCCAATCACTCGAAGGGAGTTCTGGGAGAAGCAACGCAGTGAAATGCAATTTCATGGTCCCTGTAAGCTTCTGGAAGTCTGTGAAACTCGAATCTAGACTTATAATAAGTGTAGGGGCATCTTCTGCCGAATACCTAAAGTCTGTCGCTCGCCGTGAGATCGAATGGATCAGTGCCCATGCGAGCCCACAGGAGCCGAGTGAAACTCCATGGCAGTACACCAGTCCACAGCAGAAGTCTCCAGAGGCTCACACAGTCCTGTTAGAAAAGTTCTTAGCTGCAATTCCGTATATCACTCCCAAGGACCCAGAGCTCGTCTCTCCCAGACTTTGGCACCCAGACTTCCATGCTGGTAACGTCTACATCGACGACCAAGACCGAATATCATGCATCATTGACTGGCAGGGAGTCTGGGCTACCCCGGTGTTCATCGGTGCCAATCCCCCATTGCTTCTAGACTATGGGATTGACATGTTGATGAAGCTTCCTGAAAACTTCAAAGCACTCGACGATATTACAAAAGATAAGCTCAAATACCAAGTGTCTCAGTCTATCTTAATTCACACGTATGAAGAGTCTACGGTGGAGAAGAACCCTCTGATGTACAAGGTTATGCATCATCCCCATGGCCAGACCCTCAAACAATTAGAAGCTTTTGTTGGCTCTACCTGGGACAACTGTCTCTTTCCCCTTGAAGAATGTTTGATTCGCGTTGAGAGGTGCGTTAATCTGTTTGCCCTTGAGTTCTCTGGCTGACTATTGTCGCAGTGAGTGGAGCCACTTTGGTACGAACGAACCATGTCCGTACCATTTCTCAGTAGAGGAGATACAGCAACACGACGAAGAGGCGGGGTCTTTCAACAAGAGCCAGGAACTCTGGAAAGAGCTACAAGGTGTTTTGACTGATGAGGGCTATGCGTCGAATGAGGGTTTCAGTAAGGCTGTCGAGATTCTCAGAGACTTGCGAGAATTCGGGCTAAGTGGCCTGGAGGGCGAGGAACGGCGCAGCTTCGACAAGGAGACGCGCTGGGTCGCAAATTTACGCAGCCGCTAATTTGTTGCAAAGGAAGATTGTTGATGGTATGCAATGTCAAACAGAGGGCGCATGGATCGGCCTTCGTGAGTGGAAGGCTGTTGAGGCTGACTAAAGAGATCGGAAGCGGAGTGAAGTTCCACTCCGTTGGCCCCGCCTTGAACCAAAGCTAGATCCGCATGGCCAGAACACAGTGATGTTGCGGTCGTGGATGTCGCGCTCTGTCCTGGAATTGAAAGGCCCGATTCAACGTATGCGGATTTAGGAGGCTGGGTTCGCAGTCTCGATGGTCGAGCGCCTTCGCGCTTAATGGTAGCGTTCCTTCCACGTCGCGACGTTCCAGTTTGGATCGCACCTAGCGACACCCTGCAGAAATGACGAACATCTGAACTCCATCGGACGAATCGAGTAGCCCACCATGATTGATCAGCAACTATGCACTGCTTGTAGGAAGAGGCGCGACTTTTCTTATTTATCGATCGCGAAGTCGTGCGACACCGACATTCAATTCATCAGGCCTATTCGCGCAATCGTCCAAAGCACATTTTCCCAATCCAACGACCGTCATGACCTATCCATCTACCTACACGGCCTACCGTCGCAGCGCCGGTCAAGAGAAGGCCTCTCGTCAAAACCCTCTCACCCTTGAGCAAAGCCAAGAAAATCTGCCGCAAGAAAAAGACCTCGGCCCCAACGATGTAGTCATCAAGATCCACGCTGTATCGCTCAACTACCGCGACGTCGCTATGCTGGTAGCTGAGTACCCGCCTGCTGTCACGGAACAAGGCATCCCATGCTCTGATGCCTCCGCCGAGGTCGTCGGTTTGGGCTCTGCAGTCAAGAACTTCAAAGTGGGAGACATTGTTGCCCCGATTTGCAATCAAGGCGACTTTCATCCCACGGATGACAGCATCTCGGTGGCTATCGGTGCGAACGGTGCGGGTGTACTGAGGGAGTATGCCGTTTACCAGGAGAAGCACTTGGTGCACCTGCCGAAGCATTTGTCGTGGGAGGAGGTGAGTTGTTCACAAAACATCTGCAAATGCGTTGGGCTAATACACAAATAGGGCGCAATGTTACCGTGTGCAGGTGTCACTGCTTGGAATGCGCTGGATTCGTTGGAGACGGTACAAGAGCACTCTAGTGCTCTACTACAAGGTGAGGCAAGATAACGGATTCCCCACTCTCTTACTCATACCTTCCAGGCACCGGCGGTGTTTCCATGTTCTCCTTACTGCTTTGTCTCGCCGGCGGCATCACTCCAATCATAACCTCATCCTCGAACGACAAGATCAAGGCGATCCAAGATCGGATCAGCGACAAAGTCCGCGGTCTAAATTACAAGACCGACGACCAAGCTGCCAAGATCAAGGAACTTACAAATGACCGCGGCGTCGATTTCGTAGTCAACAACACTGGCGTCGGCTCCCTTATCGATGACATCTCTTACCTGTGCGCTCGCGGCGGCACTGTCTCGCTAGTCGGCTTCCTCGCCGGCTGGGAAGCGGATTGGAAGCCAGCTCAGCTGATGGCCCTGATGGGTAAGGGCGCCAAGCTCAAAGGCATCGCTGTAGGATCGAAGAAGGATTTCGAGGATATGAATGCGTTCATTGAGGACAAGAAGGTCAAGTTTGATGTCATGCTTGACAAGACGTTTGGGTTTGAGGACGCGAAGAAGGCATTTGATCTGCTGCTTTCGGGCAAGTTTTCGGGCAAGATCGTTATCAAGGTTGCGCAGTAAGGAGACTCATCAAATGGTTTTGACATCTATTAAACCGCAGTTTCAATCATCTCATGATCTGCGTGGACATTCCCAAAAAGAGTCAAATTTGTGGCCAAGCAAAAGGCGCAGATCAGTACATGGGTGTTTCGGCGTCGTTATTGGCTATGATCAAATTCAAGCAACAACGTCAGGCTGCTTATCTTCGATCAAACCTTGACTGTGGCTTGCAAGCTGACACAGCCCCGCAAATTCATGGACAAGCACCTATCTCATTGGTCGGTTGACAGCACAGACACCACAGCCCCTCGTAACATCCTATCATCTCATCAGGCATCCAACATCCAGTTGCCAGATTGTGGATGGCCGGCAAAGCGGCAGCAGCTGGATGGTGGACAACAGTGATGATGTCGCAAATTTGATCTTACAACTAACTACTTACTCCTTGCTTTCTCAGGGCATATCTACTTCCCACAACACAGGTACCTTTATTGAACTGTGAAAGAACATGGGCATCCCTACCACTCCACAAGAAGCAGCACCCGCCTACGAAGAAGTATTGTACGACCATCCCGTGAACCGATACGCGCCTTCTGGATCAGTATCAGGTGTAAGCCCTCCTACCACATTGTCTCACAAGCCTCCAATCTTGCTAATCCATCGATCGATTCACAGTACACGACCCTACCCCAAACCGATGACCACGACATCGAACTCCACGCTGAACCCCATAACCACACGTCCTCTTCCGGCAACGCATCTTCATCAACATCAAACCCTGAGACGTTGGCTCAGACCATCACTAATTTTCTTCGACCGAGTTCGGAGCCACACACGCATTGCGAGGTCTGCGACAACCAGGTGCAGACAGAAGCAAAACGCAGGCGAGAAAGTGAACGTTACTGTTGTACTATGGTCGCAGCGACAATCATGATGTGTTTCTTCTGCGGTACGTTGTTGGGTATTGCGGTTGTGAATATGCAAGCGAGAAAGAGAAGGGATCAGGATTAAAGGGATGGCATGTAGTCAATCATTGATAGGTTGACTATGTAGTCGAACAAATCATGACTGTCTAACTCTAAACTTCAACCCTTCACGCAACCTAGACCACAAACCGCTGCTGCCCACAGGCGGTAATCCTCATCCCCTGAATACCCGACCGAAAGAGTCCCTCTTAGCACCCGTCTTCGCGATCCTGAAGTCAACACAAGACTCGTATGTCTGCTTAGCCGCCACACCATACCACCACCACTGCAGCACCTACACCGCATTAGCATCTCGCGCAGATCACCTCACCCATAATAACTTACACAATCACCCGCCGTCGCACACCTCTCCTCCAACCCCTCCGGCACCTTAACACTAAACTCCTTCTGCCCGGCCGGTACATCCGCCTCACTCTTCCCCGGCGCATACCCCTCCTCCCACACCTTCAACATCTCGCCCACAACCTCATTCTTCTTCGTATCCACAATACTCACATTCGCGGATCCCTCATGCGGAATGCGGATCCACACTTTCATGGGCACAACCTGGCCTGCGCTCCATACCTGCGTGTTGTTGGACGGGTTGTCGGCGAATTCGAGGCCTTTGCAGAGCCAGAGGTTGCAGGTGGAGGCGGTGTAGGGGGGAAGCAGCAGCTCGGGGAGGCCTTCGACGTGCGAGGTGTTGTCGCTGTTTATGGTGCGGGTTATGGCGGGGCCGCAGTGCGAGGTTAGTTCTGGGCCTGTGGGACGTGAGGGTGGGGAGGTGATGAGGCCGTGGGATAGGGCAGTGGGGATGAGAGTGAGGAGGGTGGTCGCTGCGGCGGCGGTGAAGTACATTTTGGAAGATGTGTGTAGGGGTGAAGTAAGGAGAGGAGGCGATGGAATTGACCTGCTTGGATATTCAAGATCCGTGCGATGCATGGTACTTTATACACGCATGGAATTCCCATTGCTATAATTCATTTCTGCATATTTTCGTCCTGCACCCCCTATCTCCGTGATTCCAAATCAAATCCCCGTTCGTTGTCGTGCGTGCCAATTTATCTGGGGATGCTATGTGGTTCTTGTGTGGAGCTGCTATGGGAGGTGGGTGTAGATCGCCAAGGATGAGCGAATGAGACGGGGATGTGTATAGTGTCGGCTCGGTAAGGCTGCCCTTGCTATGCCGGATAGTACACGACAATTTATTCGAGAAAAAGAAGCAAGGGTGACATGGTAGTTTGCCGATGTATAGCCGGCCAAAATATGAGTGCTGTGTAATGTTGTACTGTCGTGCCTGGGCAAACCGAGGTTAACACCACTTCAGCGCGCACAATTGCCCTGGGAGATTTGCCATGTCATATGTCATCGTTATTAGCTAGTCGCATTGGACGTGTAGCATACCTAACATCTATGCTTTTATTGTACATAGCTTCGGGAGCTGTCAAAGTTCCCCCTTCCACACCTTACTCCAACAGAGAAGCTTGGTTGGTGTAAAGTACATCGACCACGTTGCTCAGCTTCTCAAGAGTACTGAGTGCCGCGTCGTAGCCCTGGTCTCGCTCCGACTCGTCGTATACGATCAGACAACCGGCACCCTGATCCAGAACTCCGATGATGACCTTGTCGAGGATCATCTGCGAAAGCTTGCGCTCAACCTGTATTGTGTCGAGACCGACCATCTTGGCGACGTGGCCAATCTCTACCCTGCTGAAAGGCTCGATGACCTTGATCAGGTTCTGCTCCAACATGTTGTCGTACAGGCGTCGAAGGTGGGAGGTGATGAATCGGTCGCTGCCTAGCTGCTGGCGGAAATCGGTCAGGGCGGTTTCGTACTCTTCGAGACTGCGGTTGGTGTGCGCGCGCGCTACGGCCTTCATGGCTTCTAACCGTTTGCCTGCGTACTTGACGGCGTGCTTGGAGGTCATGAGCGAGGTGACGTCGTCTCCGAGGTTGAGCATGATCTTGCAGAGCAACATGTACTGGAGTGCCGAAGTAGCCTTCTGCTCTTCGTCCTGTGAATGGTACCCCTCCATGGCTTCGATGAAGTAGGAGAAGGAGGTGTTGAAGTCGCCGTCCTCTGCGTGCAGCATGCCACTCTGCATGTCGAGACCAGCCTGCAGCAGAGGCGGAGTGTAGACCGAAGCAGCCGATGTTCGTGCGGAGGTGAGGGCAGCGCGACCCTTTGGTATGTTGCCCAATGCATGGTAGACCCTTGATTCGAGCAGCTGAACCTCAACCAAGACCAGCTTGTCGTCCAAGCGCTTCAACTCCTTCAGTAGGCTGTTGATGAGTGTGAGGGCTTCGTAGTAGGATTGCTTCTGCATGTACAGGGA